GAAAGACCAGTTTCCAAGGCACGAACTTACTCAGCAGAAGGATTTTCACTAGTTTTTATATATATATTTTTTGGTTAATTTACACTACTAGTTTTATATGTTTAATTTTCAATAGTTTAAGAGGTCATTTATTTTGAAGCTCTTCAATCACTGGTGACGCTTGAGCTTGAGGGGAGTGTAGTAAAAGTCCCCTTAAACCACTATCAGTGTGGCGTTAGAATTAGTTTACAATTAATTCACACGAGGTGAATTATTTGTAGACCAAGTAGACAATCAAATATAAGAATAAAAACACCGCACAGAGCCTCAGTGAGACTCAGTAGGTTTTAGTATCGTATTTTGATGTGTTTACTACAGCGCTGCCGCAGAAGCAACCGCCGCCGCCGATGCGTTTAACCGCACCGTAGCCGAAGCACTTGTCTCCGACAATAATAGTCAACAGGACAAGGCTTCGGATAAGGATGTAGCCACTCCGATTAAGGAGACTACTCCCACAGACAGAGCCCGAGGACCAACTATCGCCTCAACTTCAAAGCTTGCATTTACGAAGCCAAGAAGTGAGACAAGGGACACGTCTCAAGACGCCCCGACCCATTCTTCTGACGAAACTCAGAAAGAAAAGTTCCCAATTATAAGGGAGTCCCCAATTATAGGGGACAAGGACAAATCTCAGAAGGAACCTGTAATGGAACCAGAAGAGGAGGCAAGCTCAAGTGGCAAACCCGAATCTACGTCCGAGACTACTAAGCTAACGCGCATAAGTAAGTTAATTACTGAAAACACTGATCTTAAGAATCAGTTAGCTACCCTTATGAAAGACTTGACTGTTGAAGATGTAGATCGATTGTATAGATCAGGAAAATATACACAGCACTTACGCGAGCATGTTTCTCCGGGCATTACTGAAGCCCTACAAAAGTGGACAGAACGTCGACAGGCAATTACGTCCGAAGAACGTAAAGACTCGAGCGCTACACCTGTGGCATATGAGCCAGATGTGCTCAACGTATATATACCTTACGAGGTACTCCCACCAGAGCTTCAGGCTAATTACTCG